TTTCTTAACATTCTAAAGTCTCACTGCAATGTTTTCAAGACGTCTCTAGAATATCAGCTACAGTAAGCTTGAAATTCATACTTATTCTCAGCAAGCATGATCCTAAACCCGACCAAAGGCTCTGCTAGGACCTCTCTCAGGCTTCTTTGATGGTCCTCAATTCACTCCAATTGAGCTATCAGTTGTTCAAATTAATTGCCAGTCTTTAATTCACTTGGTGCTTGCCTTTTCTCTACAATTAGCCCAAGGATGTGCTCATGCCTTTGGTAAAGGCTGTATTTATTAATCCTGAAAACCCAGAAACCTTGACTCACTCTAGTGCTTTTAAAGGTTGAACAGCCTCAGAAGATTAGTTCATTAGTAGTCCTGCTTATTAGCTGCCTTTCTATTCTAAATTGTCCACACTTGACCCACATAAATCAGAGAACATGGGGAAAAATGATTTTTTTGTAAAATAAAAATACATTTTAAAACCAAAATTTTTTAAAACGAAAAATTTAAAATACATTTAAAAATAATAAATGTTTGAAAACTACCTTTCCCATTTACTTCCTATTGCTTCTGAAATTCCTAGCATCGACACACCCTTGAGATGGCCAAAAGCCCCTATGTGAACTGTGGATTAAGCACATTATACCCTTAGCAACCTTTTTAGTCTGAAACAGAAAGCAGATCTATGCCAGTCACCCAGAGTAGCAAAGGGCTTGCAGCTCTTTAAAATACGAATAACTGCACTGGTTCCTTTATATGATGATGATATTTAGATTTTTGAGACCTATTGTTCATTAAAATTTTAAGTAGGCCTTACATACTTTTATAGATTTAAAGAGACAAAGAATCCAAACTTTTGGGCAATGAATAACCATAAGCACACAGTTTTAAGCCTAACATTCAAAGCTGTAATCATAACATAAAGCAACCAGTTCAATTATTAGTATTTTCAGTTTTTTAAAATAACCCTCTTTTTTCAGAGACGGGGTCTCACTCTGTCACCCAGGCTGGAGTGCAATGGTGGCAATCACAGCTCACTATAGCCTCAGACTCCTGGGCTCAAGCAATTCTCTCACCTCAGCTCCTGAATAGCTGGGACTACAGGTGCTATCCACTGTGCCTGGCTAATATTTGTGGTGTTTTTGTTGTTGTTGTTGTTTGTTTTTTTGTTTTTTTAGAGACAGGGTCTCCCTGTGTTGCCCAGGCTGGCCTTAAACTCCTGGCCTCAAGTGATCCTCCCACCTTGGCCTCCCAAAGTGCTGGGATTACAGGCAGGAGTAATGTGCCTGGCCAATAGTAACACTTTTTGTTTCATAATACATTCATCTTTTCCCAAAGAGGAATATTTACTTTAAAATGTAAACTTGTTTAGAGAAATTCAACAGACTCTGAAAATATAATAAATTTTCAAAAGAAGCCTGAAATTCAAACTTGAAAATCATGGGCAAAAATAATATCTTCAATTGATGCAACTCTTTTCTTTTTCATTGACAGTATAAGATTCTCACCTATGTAGTACAGGTTTCAATATGCCGAGGGCAGAAAATGTGTGCCTATGGTTATTCATTGCCCAAATGTTTGGATTATTTGCCTCTTCAAACATATAAAAGTATGTGAGGCCTACTTAAAATTTCAATAAGCAATAGTCTTAAAATCTAAATAAATAAAGAATAGTTTATTCAAATATATCAAAGTTGACTTTGGCTGAAAGTTTCCCTAAATATGCAGAAAGGAATATTTTTTAGGATTAGATTTCTCCTTACATGTCATGAAAAAGTGAGTCTTTGTTAATTGTTGAAATTTTCTTACCTTACAAATGCGGCAGATTTTGGATATCCTCACCCATTATATATATTCCACCTTTTAATCTTATGGAAAAAAACTTCTTTTTGTTGTTAAACAAAAGTTTATTTTATATTCTTTGCTAATAAAGAGTTGCTGTCAAAAACAATTCCCTTTACAGGAAGCAAATTATTCTCATAATTGCTTTCTTACAAATCAGCATTAGAATCACTGAGCAGGTTGCTTCTGCCATGGCCCAGTGGTTTCAGCACAGGGCTGGGTCCTTGATTATTTTTCATTATTTGATTCTTCATTCCTCCCAAACTTTATTTTTATTTTACATTAATTAATTAATTGATTTTTAGAGACAGGCTCTTGCTCTGTTACCCAGGTTGGGGTACAGTGGTGCAATATGACTCACTGCAGCCTCAAACTTCTGTCCTCAAGGGATCCTCCTGCCTTAGCCTCCCAAAGTGTGAGGATTATAGGCATGAGCCATCATACCCCACCTGGTCTCAAACTTTTATAGAAACATAGGAAAATTTTCCTTTAATCACATCTCTTAGTAGTCATTGAGACTAAGCATACCTCACTTCGTTAACATTACGTTAGAACTGGAAAACATATTAGAAAACAATGAATCTAACTTTTACCTATTAAATTAGCAAATAGAGTCCTGAGAAAGTGAAATAACTTGCTCAGGGACACAAATTCAGATAATGACAAAACTGAGTCTGCACCTTACTCCTTAACTAGTACTTTTTCCACTGTGATAAATAATGATATGCTATTCAGATTTTTGTAAACTGAATTTCGTTTCTAATGCTATATAGAAGTTAGAACTGAACTCTTCAGCAGAGCTTTTCATTTAAAACAGATTTTTCATAATGCGTACTTTTTGCCCTAATTTATTTTATATGAATTTAAAAATATTTTTGTCTAAGCATTGAAGCATATCCATGTTCCTTTTGTGGCTTGGAGAGAAGAAATGCAAAGGCAGGAGCCTGTGTGGGGGAGGAAGGTGGGAGTCAGAGAATAGAGCCATGGAAGGCAGATTTGGAAGCATTTATTCAAGTATCATCTTCCCCTTAGAATAGACAGTGTTAAACCCTTTCCATGGGTACATGCTAACGGCTTCACAGCTCCACAATTCCATTTCTCCAAAACATTCTTCTCAGGCAGCATTGTAATTAGAAATTACAATGACCCTGTCTACAATCAGAACAGATTATGAAATAACATGTAACAGTGCACAATAATTGCAGTATTCTACCACATTCCAATAAATAAAAGACTCAGTGAATCTATGAGGAAAAAAGCTCACTCCTCTACCACTCACCACTCTTTAATATTCTACATGAACATTAGTTATATCCTGGTGCATAAGAATTTACTGTGCATTAAAAGATAAAGTGATCCAATATTAATGTTGCTAGTGAATCAGATATAACATAGTAATAGGAATCATTGAAAGAAATGTACCATCCATAGATCTCAGTGAATATTATGCATATTTATGAGAACACATAAAGCAAAATAATGAACATGGCAAATTTCAACAGAAATTTTATTGATTTCTCACCAAATGCCAAGCAATGTGTCATAGAATCACAAAATGCTTGGCAAACTGATGTTACAATCATTCTAAAGTCAATTGTTTGCCAATTAATAAGGTAAGATTTATTCACTACATAAGAGTACAAAATTTCAAACAATAAGTAGGCACAGAAGGCACAGAAAATGCTCCCTATTTCTTAGGCTTTCTATATAGTAAGGAAGAGGAAAGAACAGGCTAATAGCAATAAATAGTATCCACCGTTAAAACCTATCCTCTTCCCCAGGATTGGTACAATGGACAATATTGATCCCCTAGTTACAATATAACTACTACAACTTAACAGCTACAAGTTTCTTTTATGTAAATTTAAAAACAATAATAACATTCTGTTTTTATTTAATTATCAATATGTAAGTATGCACAAGGTCATTAGGTAAACTATATTTCTTACTATTAATCATAATAAAAAAAAAAGTTTGAAAGTCATAATTCAAAGAGTAAGTCTCCCTGGAGGTTTCATATTCAGTTACTAGATAGTATTGTTGGGAGAAAAAATTATATGCTACAATGTTATCTCCTTAAAAATTATTTTTAGGTTATTTCTAGAGTGGAAGTCATCAAAAAGAAGACCTGAACTTGTACGAGACAGAAGTCATAAATGGCCCAGTAAACAATAAAATCTTCTGAGACAAACATTGCTAATGCCTTCAGGGATGAACATCTGTGCAAGGATCTTATTTATTTACTTTAAATAACAAGGGATCAAGCCCAATTTAACCAAATACATTCTTAATAAAAAAAGAAACATCCCTACTTCTCTGCATCAGAGAGGATGGTTGGGTTAAGTTTTCTAACAAGTAAGTATTTGTTCTTCTATTTGCTTAGCCTAGATACCTAGGATTCTCCAGAATATTGTCCAGCCTAGGGGAAACCAGGGAGCCTCAAAGATTTTGATGCATTTATCTGAAAAAGAATGCTAGCTAATAAATAACCCCTGTGTCCCAAGGGCTTTTTCTCTGTCTAGCCATCCAGCTACTTCTATCTAATGAGGTCAGAGAACAAAGAACAATGGGAAATTTCCTCTTCCTCACTGCAAACTTGCCTCCCTCTCCCAGTCCCCGTACATTAATAAAAACTAACATTTATACAGTCCTACTAGGTGCCAGACTTGGTTCTGAGTGCTTCATATACATTAATTCATTCAGTCCTCATAACCAGCCTGTGAGGTAGAGAACGCTTAGTATCTCCATTTTACAGATAAGGAAACTGAGCTATATCAAGGTTAAATAAATTTCCCCAAGCCACACAAATAGTAAGTAGTAGAGCCAGGATTCTAGTCTACACAGTTTGATGTTGGAATCTATATCCTTAACCATACACTTTTTACTCTAAATAAGCACTTATAGAATAGGCGTCTCCTTGAAGGAAATGATGTTCTGGATATTAAATGATGTATGAAATACTCTACATTGTATTAATCTCCTAGCTTGGATCTTCCAAAGTCTCTATATTGTTTACAGAGAAGAGATAACACCCAGTCTACAGTCAAGCACCTGTTTCACCTCAGCTTGGCCACAAACTACAATACCTCTGTTACCTCTGGACAGCCTCTCTTGAGTAAAGATTCTCCAAATCTGCATCTTTTAAACCAAAATAACTTGGTTCTCACCTTTCCAGGCATGAGTGGGGCAAAGCTGCAAGTCCTTTGCACATTTTGGCAGGTGGCTTAGCTCCTCCGCTTTAAGTACAACTTCTTAACAGCAGAGCCAGTCTTTGAAAACTTCAAAACTGTCTGGGACGCCTTTCCTTCTGAGGTATATATAGAAGCTCTTTCCCAGCCCTCTGTTGCTCTTCCAGCCAATCCAGAGCCTTAGAGGAAACTGCAGGCTAGAGAGCAGCAGCAGTGGGGCCTGAGGTGGAGGAGGGAATCCTTTCTCTGCTGCAGGCACTGCTGTGGCATAAGGCTTTCATCTGCTTGTATCACAACACACTCTTGCTGACCGGCCAGGACAGGGTTAGGCCCTAAACTGTGCACAGGTCATTGGTCATTTGAACTCCTAATCTCAGGCCAATCACAGGGAAGATGTGAGCTTCCTGTGAAGCAAAGTGCTTTGGACCACTTCAGATCGGTCAAAGTCATAGATTCTGAGGACTGTAAGGGCTCCTGGAGATCGTTTAGCCCAACTTGTTTCACAGTGAAGGAAATTGAAATCTAGGGAATTCAAGGAATGTGTACGTGAGTACTTACCATGTGCCAGGCACTCAGCTGGATCCTAGGAATTCAGAGAAGAAAGAGAAAGCTCGCTGCCCTCAAGACCCCAAAACATATTATAAGTGAGTGATGGAGGCCAGGCTGGGATGTTGTGAGCCTTCAGGGAGCACCAGGCAAGGTTTTCTGGAGCTGAGAGATAAGATCACTGTTTATATAAATCAAAACAAATATGAATAATTACTATATATTCTTTATGAATCCATATGTCTGTGAAGTTACTAAAAAAGTGACCTGAGAGACCAAACACCAAAATCTTAAAAGGGATTGAGTATAATGATATCATCCCTGAACTCTGTTAATTCTGTCAGTGGTCTTCTGATTATTCTTTGCTTGGATGACTAATGCTTTGTAATTCTTTGGACCTCCCCACCCTAGCCATCCTTGCCTAGGCTTGTCTTCCCTTCCCCTTCAAACATTTCCGACCTCCTATCACTCAAGGAATATTTACTTGAATATTTACCAATATTTACCTGAATTGTGTCTCATCCTGTCGGGGCCCAAGGTGCTCATAAGTTAATCTATAATTGTAAATGTCTGAGGCAGCCATGAGTCCAAGCTAAAAACAAGTGGCACTGCATAATCCATAAGAACAGCTCTGAATTTGCAATTAAAGATTATTCTCATAATTTTCTCTGTTATCTGAAATTAGTTGTTTTAAATGACTCCCTCTTTACCCTTCTTGCAATGGTTGATCAACAGCTGTTACTGGCTTGTAAAGTCAATGCAGTGCATTATGACCTGATGCTTTTAATGAAACAAATCGAATAGACAAATATCCAAGTGCACTGGATGTAGAAAGTTAGTATTGTTTTCTGAAATTTTGACTTTATCAAGACGTATGTGTGCACAGGGTCATCAGGTAAACTATATTTCTTACTATGGATCATAATCAAAAAAGTTTGAAAGTTGTAACTCTAAACCACACACACACACACACACACACACACACACACACACACACACACGTTTTTGAGACAGAGTCTACCTCTGTTACCCAGACCAGAGACTGGAGTGCAGTGGCATGATCATCGCTCACTGCATCATCAAACTCCTGGGCACAAGCGATCCTCCCACCTTAGCCTCCTAAGTAGCTGGGACTAAAGGCTCATGCTACCATGTCTAGTTAGTTTTAAAATTTTTTGTATAGACAGGGTCTAGCTTTGTTGTCCAGGCTGGTCTTGAGCTTTTTGCTTCGAGCAATGCTCCTGCCTCCGCCTTCCAAACACTAAGCACAATGTCAGGCACATAGACATCTGTAAATACTGAATGAGTTAAACAAACTGTCCAGCTTCTGCCATCTACTGACTGAGTAAACATGGGCAAATCAATTAATTATCATTTTTGAGAGATAGGGACACTGTTGTTGACTATTAAATCTAATAAAGGGAATATAAAAACAGTATATATATATTATAGTTTATATATATATATATAAATATATATACAAATATTTATATATAAAAAATATAAAAACTCTTGTCCTTGGGACAAGAGTCTAAATCACTATTTGATACCAAGGGACTTTGTGGAGATAACAATATGGAAAAGAAAAACCCCAAGTTTAATGTAGAGCAATGGAGGGTGATGTCTTGGTGAGGGCTAAAAATCAAAGCGTGTTTCTGATTGTCCCAAAGGAGATCATGTGATGGACTATTTAAGAATAAAAATTATCTCGACTTACTAAAACATGGAGTAGAACCCAAAATGTAAAATTCTATAGAAATAATATTAAATCCAACGCTTACTTGTTTTTAAAACTTTGTAAGGATGGGATAGCCAGAGAGTATGTAAAAGGGTGTGCTCTAGAAGCAGAAAGTAAAATAGTGATTGCTAGAGGTTAGAAATGGGACAAATGGAGGAGCTGCTATTCAATCAAGTTTCAATAGGTATAAAGTTTCAGTTATGCAAAATGAAAAATTTCTAGGAATCTGCTGTACAACAGTGTGCCCATAGTTAGCAAAAATGTACTGTACACTTAAAAATCTGTGAAGAGAATAGTTTGTATTATGTTTTTTTAACCACAGTGAAAAAAAAAAAGAGTATTCTATGTAAAATAAATTTGAAGTCTTTGAAAAAATAAATTGAACTATTTTGAAATCTCCTTTCCCTCCTGAGAATCCTTCAGAAATGACAGTAAATACATGAAAAAGGTATAAATCTGTAATAGCAAAGAAAAAGAGAAACAAGCCATCGTATTCTGAGTGATTTCAACCACTTCTTCATGGAATGTGAAAAGAGGTGATTAGGACTGGTACCTAATGAAACAGGGAGAGGAATTCGGGGGTGCTTCAAAGAGAGATCCATCTGCCCTGGAGGATGCCACAGGGGTTTGGGCTCCAAAGCGCTAGATATTACAGTTCTACAGAAGGCAGGAGTTAGCTGTACAAGTGGAAGTAGTGAGAGACACTGAACATTTTCATCAGATGAAAGAATCTCCTGCCCCCACAACTGCTCTGATTCAGCTCTAATTCATTTCCTTAAATCGTGTGTAAGTGTCTTTATTTTAACTATTATTAGCAATATATTTATTGAGATGCATTTTATCACTTCCAATTTGGGGACCTCTGGGACTATGTCATCCATTGTGAACAAGCGTCTCCTCACTAATCTCCCTACTCTCAGTAAGAGTCTCGCCCTAAAGCCAGCTGGGAGCACATGGAGTAAACAGAGGCAAGGTCTTTACCTTCATGTTGCTTGATTTCTCTTTCTTTCTGATAAATGTTTTAAATCGCATGCAAGCTCAATTTATAATTCTACCACTCAGAAATATATACTGTCAATAGGTTGTGATATTGCTTCCATGCCTTTTTTTATTTAAAGAAATAAAGAGGCAATGGATAAAACTAAAGTCCCTGGACTTTATATTAAATATAGTCCTACTGAACCTGCTGGCACCTTGATCTTGAACTTCCCAGCTTCCAGAACTGTGAGAAATAAATGTCCACTGTTTATAAAGTATCCAGTCTCAGGTATTTTGTTATAACAGCACAAACTAAGACAATATGGATTCATTAAAAGTATATAGTTTATGTTGCCTTTTTATTTTTTTAATGAAAAAAAGAGGACTCTCATGTCCATTATTTTCCCCCTTTCATCACACTCAGGACCTGTTAAGATTTTCGTGTATGGTCTTCCAGATCATTTTTTAATGTCCTCATATACATATGTACTATGATCTGAATGCTTCCCCCAAAACCCATGTGTTGAAACTTAATAATCACCAATGTGATAATATTCAGAGGTGGGGCCTTTAGGAGGTGATTAAGCCATGAGGTCAGAGCTCTCATGGATGAGATTAGAGCCTTTATAAAAGGGCTTGAGGGAGGGGGTTCATTTTCTTCTGCTTTTCTGCCATGTTAGGAGACAGCAACAAGGCACCATCTTGGAGAAGCAGAGAGCAGCTCTCATTAGACACTGAACCTGCTGGCACCTTGATCTTGAACTTCCTAGCTTGCAAAATGGCAATAAATAAATTTCTTTATTTATAAAGCACCCAGTCTCAGGTATTTTGTTATAGCAGCACAAACTAAGACAATATGGATTCATAAAAAGCATATAGTAATTATTAGTATATATTTTGATTCATATAAATATAATCTACATCTTTTATTTAAAATTATGAATTTTTGTTTTTGTTTTTAGATTATAATGACAACTACATTATTGAATAATTTCTATGTATTAATCACCTTTTAAAACACTTCGTGTATTTCCACAATCACAACAAAAGCATGAGGTAAGTGGTATAATTTTTGCTATTTCAAAGAGAAAACACCTGATCATATAAATGGATGAAATTGTTTAGGATTAAAAAACCATCAGTATTAACATGGGAAGTATAAAGTCTATACCTCTAGTTTATGCTTTTTAATTGCTGGAAAGAATTCTGTCATATGAATCTAAGAATCATTAGAATCAAAGAATCTAAATATAATTGCATTTCTTTATAGACCCATTGTTAAATAGGTCATTTCTAATTGCTTCTGGCAAAAGTACTTAAATTAATATTCCTATATATGTCTCCTGGTGCATTTATCTATAATGTAGTTCATAAAATGAAACTGCTGAGAGGTGTAACATGCAAAATTATCACGCAATCAGACCAATTTAGACTCCTAACAAAAATGTATGAGAGCCTCATTTTCCCCAATATACAACACTTGCCAGGCTTTAATTTTTTCCAGTGACAGGCAAAAAATACCAAGTATTTTTCATTTGTACATTTCTAATTACTAGGGAATTTGAACTTCCATTCATATACATATTGGCCATTTTAATTTTTCTTCCATTAGTTGTATATTCCCATGCTTTAAACAATTTAATTATCTGGCTTTTTAAAATTGGTGTACAAGAATTCTGTATAAAAATAATGAAACTAAGTATGGAAGAAAGGAGAAAAGAAAAGTAGAAATAGATCATTGATTGTTGTAGAAGCCGTTAAAGAATACCAATAAAATTGGATAAACCAGATAACAGGCTAAATAAGAAAACAGGAAATGAAAGGCACTAAGAAAAGTATATATATACAAAGGTAACCATTAGAACAGAAATATAAATCCTCCTAAATATCAAAAAATAAAAAAAGGAAGATTAAAAGACAAAGAATAAACAGTTCATAGAGAATGAAATATAGAAAATATCATAAAAGACACACAATTATACAATATTGTGTGATAGAATTTTGAGAGCAAACATATATCAGTAAATGTAAATGTTCATAAATTTTCCATTAAAAGAAAAGTTTTAGTTAGGCTTACAAATAAAACCCAGCCTG